ATTTTAAACAAAAAAACAAAAAAAAAACAAAAATTAAAAAAAAATTAAAAAGTTAATGAAATGTTTAATTGTGATAACAAAATGTTTCTCCTATATTAATTTCAATAATATATAAATTATTATGATGGATCTGAAAGTATAATTATTAATTATTATTAATTACAATATGAATATAAACAACAATATAAAAATATAATTAAAAAGTAAAACCTAAAAAATATATCTCAATGAAATTAAAATACTAATTAGTACATTACAGTAGCATAAACCATAAATAACAAAATAAAAATAATTTAATTTATACAAAATATTCATAAAATAAATATTATTATTAGTATTGGTTATTTAATATAATTTTATTTTGTTATGTCAATAAATTACAAACTATAATATATGTCTATTATACATATTTACATACAAATGATTGTAACAAAATTGCAGATATGAAAAAATTATATAAATATTTACAAAAAAATATTTAAAATCTAATAAATTACACGAACTTTAATAAATGTATGAAAATAATAAGGCAAACTTTAAGTACAATACTAAAAATATCAAATAAAAATGTAAAATTGACAAGTCGAAACAAAACAGAAACGAAAACATAGTGCATAAACAAAAAGTGAGGCCAATGAGCATTACTAGGTTATAATTTGATCACGATTTTTGTCAAAATATAGCGATTAATAAAGAAAATACAAAGTTAACATCAATTACACTATCAATATTTACCAAATCGACGGACATATATATCCTAAACGATTTTGAACCAAGTCTTACTACTCACGAACTGCAATTAAAATCTTTTGGGCCATAAGACAGGGGCACAACTTCTATGTGGAAGAAAATAGGTTATAGAATATTTTTTTTAACCAGACATAAAATGTAAATTGTTGCGCTAATCGAAATTTAGTATTCTGATGAAAAAACAGCTGATTTTGACAATTTCCATAATAATTTTTAACAAAATAAGGCATCCAGAGCACTAGATATCGGGGGGCCACCATTTTGTCCGTCGGGGGAGGTGTACGTGAAGTGGGCTCAAGCATGCTCAAGATAGACCGTCAAAAGTCTGAACATTTTTATTTTGCAACTTCCTTGTATATCTCACAATTACATATGCTTACCGAAACAAAGTTAAAATTCAATAATGAACAGCATGGTAGCCAACGAGCCTCACTTCAGTCTTTGCACAGTACGATTTCATACCGTATGAACACAAGAAAATTTTAACGTTACCCCATTTCTTTCCAACTTCGTGCGGGATTTCTCGCGTTTAAAATGCACGGAGCCACACCACAGGAGCACTAATTTTAATCTACGATATGCCGCGCAAGTCTTACTTCACTTTCTGCACACAGCGCACGGTAGGAATCACGAAAAAACTCGACATAATCGGTAATATAAAGGGACAAGTCATAAAACGCCATGAACAATAACAAGGAGCCGCCATTTGCAATGCGAACAACTGACATGCGCAAATCAATCGCGCGGGGCATACTGGGTATTTGAAGGGCGCCATCTTGCCAATCATTTTAACATTGAAGTTTCCTAACCTTTTATAGTTCAAATTTATTCAATTTAATTTTTATTATTACATTTATGAATTGTATATTTCATCGAATATTTTTATAAATTTAGTATAATAAAATATGATAAAAATGCATATTGCAATTTTTGTGTTGCATATACTGAATTTTTATTTCATACAATTAGTTTTTAAAGTAGTATAACAATAATAATAAATAGATAACTTTGTTATTTTGTATATTTAATTTAAAAATTAATAAAATTTGTATAATATTTAACGAAGAATATATCATTGTCTGCGAATTTAACATAAAAAATTTAACTTGTAACTTATGTGTTGTATCGAATTATTATGAAAAAATATAACACAAAAATTATTTTGATTATTATATACGTAAACAATATTTAAAATGAAATAAACAATCATAAAAAATAACTTGATCTATCTAAAACATGCGTTTTTAAATGTTATGTCTGGGATACCTTATCTGTAACATTTATTTATTAATCTTACATATAATTTTTTAACCAAAATTTTGAAATACCACTAATATTTTATTAACATATATAATGTTTAGGTTTGATAAGATTCCATAAGTCCAGCTTCATTCATTCGCTTCAATGATGCTTCCGCATTATAAGTTCTGAAATATAACAATATTTATATTAGAAATAAAAAAAAAATTTATATTTTTAAAATACTTCAATTACTTGTAAAAATCTTCGACTTTCTTTTCATATGCATCAGAAACAAGTATTTTATAAGCTAAACCAACTACAGAGACAATTGCTGTTACAATTACTAGAGACTTCTTAGTTTTGGTAATATGCATGTCACGAAGTTGGGGTTTTTGTAATCTTCCCTCTGTAGCCATCTGAAATATTAATTTTTGTAATATTATAACCATATG